AGAAACAGCTACTTAAAGCATTGCAAAGGTTAATTTCTTTACATGATTTCCAACTTCCAATGCCGTGGATCTCACATAGAACGCTATCCTGACTAAAGTAACTGAGATAAATATTTGAACCAGAAAGCTTTCTATTGACCCATAGATGTAAAATGAATCTTTCCACAGAATATCATAACGTAATGTCAAAAGCAAGAGAATAAAGAATGCCAAACAAAATAATTTTAATTTTGCTTATGAATTTATATATAGCACATATTTTTTTTTAGGAAATAGATTAAGTTTATCATCACATTAAGTATTCCAAAATTAAACACTGACATTTTACAGTGTCCCTGAACATACAAAGTGTCCCTGTCTTGTATAAAGACTACCATCTACCAGAAGATTCAAAATTAATAATCTTATTTGATGTTATCTTCATATAGATTCTGTGATTTCCACAATACATGTAAGTGTGTGTGTATCTGTGTGTGTATATATGTGTGTATATATTTAAAGTCTTTAGTTTCCAGCTTTAAATGATTGATTATGCTGATTTCTCTACTATGTAATTCAGTACATAATTGGTTGCACATAATATTCAGCCCTCTATTAATTAAGCAAAATACACACGCATTAACATCCCAATAACTCAAGTGAGACTTAAGTAGCAATTTTTGACTGAAGGCATCTGAAAGCACATGACTCCCTTTATTCCCATATAAAACACTCATAACATCTCAATGAAAGATTTAATCGTTCATGCTCATTAATTTTTTGATTCAATGTCCTTCCATTTTTGTATCTGAAGGACTTGATGTTCTAAAAGTTGGAAAGTTAATATATACAACGAAAGTTGTCATTCTCTATAATTAACTGAACATTTAGTTCTCTGAAACAAGGGTAACTGCATGTCCTTCTCTGCACAGCTGCGAAACTGAGCCGTCACAGGGCCAATTCTTCTCAGCTGTCTTCATGATGGATCCACAGCTCTGCTGCTTCTAAGCTGGAATTTTTTACCTACGAAAGTTGTACTATTTGGGCAACTCAAATAAAATAGCCTGTTTACTGACCTAGTTAAGTGACAACTTACCTTTGTAGAAACAAATGATAATCCCTCTTTCGAACACTGAAACACACACCTTAACAACTCCGTCAGTCACTAGAGTTGAAGGATTCTATATTGTCTTTTCTACTTAACTAGGTAAAAGCAGTAACACAAATACGGGTATCTATTTTTTAGACACTGGACATTTTGTCAGTTCCGGTATTGTCAAGAATTAATAAATCACCTGCTTTAAAGGACAAAAGCAAAAGTTAAAAATATATCAGTTTTTTTAAATGTATGTGTAGGCAGCATAAGTAGTAGTATTTTATGCATCTGAAAAAAATGTTTCGTTGCTTAATGCTTTCAGTGGAAGTGTGCTATCAACTTATTTCTACTACTTCATCTTTTTGCAAGCTAACAGCAGTGTTCTCATCTTCTTGTTAAATGATGTGAAAGGCCAGGCTTCATCAGGTTCTAATGAGTGCTCCGTGACTTCCACCCCACAGCCTGAGCGCAGATCATCACTGCACTCAAGGTTTTCGTTTGTGTTTTTTGCAAAATGACCTGCTTTTTAATTTACCTATCAGTGAAAAAAAAATGTATCCTTTGTTACTGTATTTTATCCACACAAAATTATTTTCCTTCTTTATCCATTTGCCTCCTATACTTTGTTTCCTAAGAATTAATAGCCCTCAAAATTATATAACTCCAGGGAACATTATTTGTGTTACACTAAAAAACAAACAAAAAAAAGTACGCCATGTATTGCCTAATGACATTCCTGCTAATGGCAGACTGCATATACTATGGTGATCCCAATAGGCCATACAGTAGTCTGAATGTGTAATTGGCTATATCATCTAGGTTTGTGTAATAACACTGAGATTCACACAAAGATGAAATCACCTAACGACACATCTTTCAAAATATGTATCATCTTGTTAAACAATACATTGCTGCACCAGAGAATATGCTGCAAACACATAGATTACGTTTCACTATTTATGAGTAAATAGAATGGGGATTAAAGGTATTGGCTATTAAAATAGGTGCTCTTTATTTATCGATATTATAGCATAATTGAGTAGTATCTGTCATTAAAATAGTATCTTCTATAAGCCTTTATATTAAGTAAATTTTGTAATAAGTTCCTGTAATGTATTTCATGTGGACAATAGTTATCACTTTTTTTTTGGAATTATATGCAAACATATAACTCAGAAATGGCATATAAAACTGGTTTGGCTTTAGTTAAACTTTCAGAAGTACAGTGAATTTTCTGGGCATATTTTAGCATATTTCATTTTTTGACTTCTCCTGCTTGAGCCTCTATATGAGAATATCAACTCTTTTGTGGTGGTACTGTATTCTAATTGTTTTCTATGCCAAAAGTATTTTTGACAAATGCATCTTGTCTATAATTCTTATGGGGGTGAAGTTTCAGTATCAAAATCCTTAACTTAAATTTCTCTATCAGTGATATTTAACACCATTTCATATCCCTGTCAGCCATGAGAATAAGATATTTGGGAAACTACTCAGATCCTCTGCATATTTTTAATTGATCGCTTCCAATTTTAATTGTAACTCTTTATTTTAGAAAACTAACCTGTATCAGATTTATGACTTGCAAATATCCTTACACTCAGTATGGTATCTTTTGATTTTGCTGAATTTATTTTGATGTACAGGAAATTTATTTAGTCCCATTTTTTTGCTTGCCTTTTTGGTGTCAAATAAAAAATAAGACATCAATGTCAAATAGCCACCTACATTTTCTTAAGAAAGTAATACTTTCTAATTCTATGTAAAAGCCTACAATTCATCTTTTTTGTTTGGTTTGATAGTGGTCCAGTTTCATTTTGGTTTTATATGTGGCTGTACAGTTTCCACAAAATTGAAAAATTTTTTTTTCCTCCAATGAGAATCTAAATCCTTCCTTCTAATTTAATTGAACATGTATGCATGCATCTTTTTCTGAGCTTTAATGTTCCATCGATCTACATGTCTGTTTTTTATTAGTGGTTTGAATACAGAAGTCATGTAATATAGTCTGAAATAAGATGTCATGAAGTCTGATGAAATCAGAACTATCCAACTTAGTTCTTATTTCTTAAGATTTCTTTTGCTTAGTTGGTGCTTATGTTTCTGTAAAAATTTAGAATTACTCCATTTCTTTGAGAAATGACATAGAAATTCAGGTAGGGATGGCACTGAATCAATAAATTGCTTAAAGTAGTATGGATTTTTTAAACAATATTAATCCTTCCATTACCTGAAAAGGAATACTTTATAATTCTTCGTGGTTTTTTTTTTTTTTTTTCCCCACCAGTCATCTTTGAGTATGTAGGGTTTTTACTTTGGTTAAGTTTATTTCTAGTTACTTTATGTTTTACATGGGAATATTTTAAACTTACATTTCCTATAATTTGTATACAGAAATGCAAGTGATACTTGAATATTGGTTCATATCCTACAACATTACTGAATTTATCTAACAAGTTATTATGGTGTTTGTAGGATTTTCTTAATTCAACTGTAATACTTTGCAGCTTTACTTCTTTCTATTTGGGCAACTTTTCATTTAATTTATCTTGCTAGACTTTTCAGTACTCTCAAAAGGGCCAAGCATGCTTTGTCAATAGCAGATATGTGATGATCACATGTGTTTTTGAAACTTTTATAAAGGTAACATTGGTTTACAATACATTACTTTAAATTTTATTTGAGTTCTTTTTCTTGAGTATAACTTTATAAATCTCGCTGTTAGTCTATATTTTAACTGATTTTTAACTCCTTTATTTTACTAATTGGTTATTTGTTTATATTTCTCTCATCCCTTAGCTATAAAGCTTGGTTTTATTTTTCCTTGATTTTTTCACAGTTGTTTTTGTCATCTCATACTGAATTTGATTCCTTTAACCCATGAGATAATTTAGTTTACACATAATTGACCCTTTGCCATATTCCTAATTGAATTTTAGTCTGATATCAGTGATTGGAAAAGATGCATGGAACAGTCTTTTGGGGGGTCTCAATTTAGCTGCAGTTCTTAGGAGTCAAGATGATAACATTGTGTGAGGTCCCAATCCTTCTCTTTGCAGGTTTTCTCCAGCATAATTTGTTCTATATGTAGATAGATGTATTTCATTTGTTTGTGGGAATGGATGAATGAAAGACCTTTTTATATTGCCTTATGAAACTGTAACCTCTTTTTAATTGAGAGAAATATTCTCTGAGAAACTTTAGAGAAACAATTTTTCATGTACTCCTTTGCTACCATCCATTTCCACTTCCTTTTATCTATGACTACAGAACTAATTTCATCTATTTCTCAAAACTTTCACTAGTGCTTTTCATAAGTCATGGTGTTGTTTATGGGAGTCTTTTTCCCAAAAGATTGGGTGGCTTCGGGGAAGTAAGCAACTGAGGCAGATGCTGACACAGTAACAGTTCTTTATTTAAACAATTTCCAAGCAGTAAGATTATATCAGTATAGGCATTGAAGCAAACCTTTTAACAATTTATTCCCATGGCTATACCGACACTTATGTGGCTACATGTTACAAAGACATTCTTTTGATCACAGACAGAAAACTACCCAAAGCAATCAGCATCCCCAATTTCTCAGCATGCTCAATCATTCTAGTCAACATCTCATATAAAGCAGCAAATCACTAAGTCCTCCTCCTTTGAATAATACTTTTTCAGGTTTTATCTAAATTCAGATGTGTATCATGTTTATCCATATTCCTAAACAGTCTACATTCTTGATTTATGCCAAGGTACTTTTCTGAGAAAACCATCAGCAGTTATTAAACATTTTTTGATAACCAATTAGGCTACAAACAAGAGAGTCCAAGAATGCTTGATGGCCAAATACAATTGCTATTAGCCAAGAACAAGTACAAGGTAGTTCAGTAAGCATTACAATGGAGACTCCCCTTAATATGTCTTCTTGGAAACCAAACAGCCTCCATCTTCTCAGGAGTCTCCCCCATTGCCTGGAACTTGTCTAAGACAGCATGGGTAGCATAACCTATGTCAGTAGTTCCGTCTGTAAGTCTTAAAACAATCCTTCTTTGTGTTTTTACTTCACTGTTTTAATAGGGACTGAATAATGTACGAGTTACGTTTTCAAAATCTAGTTAAGTGGTACATGAAACCTGTATCTGAAACCTGTATCTCATGTCTTCATCTGTCAGTGTTGATCTTAATATTCTTCGTAATTACTCTTCTGTAGGAATATAATGAAATTTTTAGATGACATTGTGCTTAAAACTGACACTTGAATAGCATAGGCTTGAACTTCATGTGTCCATATATGTGCATATTTTGCCTATTCATAAGTTCCAAATTCATGGAGTCAACCAACTGTGCATGTTGGTCCTTTGACTCTGTATGTGGAACCCATGAATACAAGGTGAACTATAAACCATATGCAATTTTTTCATTAAATGGATATTAGCATGCCTAATCCCTCATTACTGTATGATGTACTATTCCAATTCAAAAGTTACTTTCAAAAGTGCTATTATCAATTTTTCCTCATCCTGATTTCCTATTAGCTTCCTATTGAAATTCCCATATTATTCTACCACTATCAAATTTTCTTAGCCTGTACTCCTCCTCTTGTTTTATATTTTATTTGGAGATTCTTGTTAATCAACTAGTAATATGTTATCCTGACCTCCATACTTCAGTTGTTGATTCTTTCTTTTCTGACAGCCAGTGCCAAATTCAGATTTATTTCCTTAATCCTCAGAAATCCTCCCCAATCAATCTCACATCTTGATTGATTTCTACCTTAATGTCCATCTAATCTTAATCAGGGTCAATTGTAGAAAACTAATAAGACCATTTTCATTCTTATATTCTAGGACTCCTGTAATTATTGCTTATCAAATCTTCTTTACACACTTCTTGAATTTTCATGTATTTTCCAGTTAGTTGTTATAAAATTCACCCTGAAATATTTCCGTATCTGTTATTCTCACCCAATGAAAATATCATATGTTCTAGAAATGTGTATTTTAATCATGGACTTATTGCATAAATTGAGATTTTCTGCTCCAATGCTAAAGTCATATTTGTACCTATTCCCTGTACTGAAGAAACTATATGTACTACTTTGGAAGTAGTAATAGAGGAAGCTGTAGTAAATAGACAACCTGAATCTTGATTTAGACAAGTGACAATATATTTCTGAATCTGATTTCTCCATATAAATTATATCATCTTAAGTTTTGCTATAAAAAAATACTTGTTGATACAAAAGCTAGTGTTCTGTAAGTCTGAAGAGGCTTATTTTATAATAAAGCACAGAAACAGTTTAAGTCAATCAGTTGTTATAAATAAAGAAATCTTGTAGCATATTGTCAGTGAGAATGTGTGTTTGCAACCAAAGTGAAGTTAAATATCCATTTAAAGTCATTCAAAAAACTGAACAATGAAAAATAAAATACTAGAGGAAAACCAATGGAGCTTTTATCAGTCTTACAAGTTAGGAGACTTAAAAATGGAGGCTAATACTCTGAGATGAGGCCTCTGTGCATTATTTAATTACTAGAATCTGGGTTATTCTAAGACTCCGGTTAGGCCTAAGGCAAAAAGTAAAAGTGATAGGTGTATAGACAATCAAAATAGTGTATAGTGACCTACAGTGGTTCTATCTTAAGGGGTGACTTACCATGGAAGTATTCTTGTCTAGTGAACATTGCATATATAAGTGAATGATAACTGCTTTTCTGTTTTTTTTTTTTCTATGGAAATCCTTACCATAATGGTGTCAGCATTCTTCTTTATTCACTATATATAAAAATAACCCCATTTTGGTTATGCCTGTCAATATTGTGACTTGTTTTCTTACCTTTTGGTCTCAAAGGGTTGTCAAAATAAATTGCTGGTAGTTACTTGCAGTTGCATGTGTTGGGGTGGGTGGGGGTTTTACTTCGGTCCTTTTAGGGCTTCTGCTGGTCTTGAATAAAATTGACACATGACATTTACACAATAAGTGCATTAAATGTTATCTTTTTTTTTTGTTAAAGAAGCTATTGAAAATATGAAGACCCCCAAATCTCATAAAATTTAAATGTTTTTAAAGTAAGTTAAAGAAAGAACTATAGCAAAATAAACTCCATGAGGGGCACTAATGCAATAGAAATTGTCGACAATAACTTGTTATGATATTCTTTTAGCTATGACTTTCTGTAAAAGGAAGTGGCATATTTCATTGATACAAATTATATTAATCACCAAGTATCCTGGTGATTATTTTATTATATACTGGAATTCCTAACTTTTCCTTATTCATTGTTGGCCTTAAGAGATAGAAGTGTGAAATCAAAAGAACTCTTTAACTAAAGCATGCATGAATATGATCCTAAATTCTGTTCTTTGATCACTTGAAACCTTACCTCCACTTCTATCATCTTGGAAACTTCTATCACCTTGGAAACTTTATTCCAACTTCTGTGGCTCATAATCATTAATTCATCCATCTCCTAAATTTATCCTAGGAGAGGAATTTGGAAAGATAATCTGTAATTCACCATTATTATCATTCCCTTAAAAATAGTTATCTCTCTTGTTCATTTCTCTTCTGGATATATAATATTGTGATACTCTTAAATATTCAACCAGTTATATTAACATAATACCTATTCACAGAGAAAAGTCCACATCTTGGAATGAGTGCTGATACAATAGACACAAATACTAATTCATCCCATTTTTGTGACTGAAAATATTTGCTCACTCTCTAACTATAATTTGTGTTCCTGTCTCAGACCTCTTATCCTTTTGCTTTGATACTTTTAATTCTTATGTCCTTGAGAAAATAAGTCATAAGACACAGTAAGCTTATCTTCTTTTAAGTATAATATGTGGTATATGTTTTGTTACTGAATTTATCTTATGCTTTTATTCTTGAAGGTAAAAATTTACCACATACAATAATGATTCTCCACAGATTATTAATGGTATTTATATGATTGTGACCAATTTATTTTTCCAACTTTATATCTCCTTGTCAACAGAATCACTACCACTAGGAGTTAATGACCAGATTCATTTTAAAGAGAAATCTTCCTTGATTCTCCAATGCACTTCATTGAGAACACTTTGAAAATTATTACGTGATTGTTCTGTTTCTACTTCACCATCAACTTCATTTTCGAAACATACTAGCCTTGCTTTATTTTTCTCCTGACCTTTGTTTCCAATTGTGTATCATGATTCCCACCTCCATTTTACACACATGTGCTTTGTTAGTCTGTATTGTAGCCTTTATAATTACAGATTTACTTCTAAATTTGCTAACAACCTTATGAGGAAAAAGATTGTTACTTTGTTCCCCATTTATCTTTCCTGATCAGTCATACTGATCGCTTATTTGGCATTTATATTAGTTGTGCATACCTGTATTATGCAGGTAAAAGAAAATTCTTCTGAGCATTCAAATTATATATCCATCCATTCTCAACTATTTTGCTTTTGTCTGAGGGTTTTACAGGGAGTCTAAAAGAAGAGAAATCTATTCTCTTCATTTTCCCTATTACTTTACTACTTTCCCTTTTGAAATATATGCACAAATGTTGTCCTAAATTTTCAACCCCAAAACTATAAGACTCTTCATTCTCTCCATCACAACTTCATGTTAATCAGACCCCTAGGTGTTATTAAAAAAAAATATTTGTAATTACACAAGTCTAGCTCAGCCATCGTATCATGTCTAGACATCTTGAGATGTTTTTTCCTAAATAATCAATCTGATCCCTATGAAGCCCATTCTTCACCTAAGTGTGAAAGTGATCTTTTGAAAACAAAGCAGATTGTATCACCTTCTCAATATCCAACAAGGCATTTCCATTCAACTTAATATAAAAAAAAAACTTATTTTGGGTTGTTTGTAAGCCTCTATACAGTCTAGTGCTTGCCTCTTTTCTGGAAACCTCATCTTAAAAAGACTATTTCACTTATTATATATTTAAGGTAAAAATTAGAATAATACTGATATTAAACAATTATCTATTGGTACCTTGCATTTCCACACATTTTACAAGCAAAAGTGTTCATTATTATAGTAGGCAATCTTTCCAAATATATCATATTGTAAACAGCCTTGGAATATAGTTTGGTCCCTTTATAACAACAGGATTGGATAAACACTTGAAAGATAAAAATGACATTCTAACCTCCACCACGTCACACACACACACAGCAAACTGGCTTGTTTTACGTCGATTATAAAATACTAATTTTTCTAAAGTGAGAGTTTTCTGACCTATAATGAAATATAGATGCTGGTGTTAGCTGGCAACAGTATATCTGATCTTGATGAGAAAATGTGTACTTGAAATTCACCAAAAACCCCCAAGATCCAGTTTCATTTATCATTTGCCATTGAGGTTGCTTTGTTGTTTTTAGCACTGCAAACCTTAAGGGAGGCAAAGAAGAAAAACAAAAGATTGTCCCAGAAGACTAGTATATCACAAAATTAAGACAGGCCATATTTCTTTGTGTTAATGAAAGTATTCCTGTGTGTTTAATATGCAATCAGGAAGTGTCCCTTTGGGAAGAGTATAAATCCATTAATATGTAAATGAAGTGTATCTGTGTAAAAAGAATATGACTAAAGATATCTTCTACATCACTCATTTACCTGAGGCCCCAATAGACACTTGAGTCACAACTTTTGCTTTGCCAAAATAGCCCACTTTCTGTTCTTAAAACAAGCCAAGAATGGTCCTACTTCATGCCCTTTCATGCTGTTCTATCTGCCAGGAGTGCATTTTCTATGGCTCTTCACAAAGCCTGCCACTTCTTATCCTCCAAATCTCAGTTTAAATATCATCATCTCAAAGAGGTCTTCTTCAAACATCCTTTCTAATTAGATCTTTCCTTGTCATTTTCTACCATGGCACATCTTCATGATATTAATAACACTTATCTACATTTGTCGTTTTATGTTGATTTCTTTGTAATTTTATATTGAATTGTTTGCATAATGCCTGTTTTACATTAGATTGTAAACTAATGAAAGAAGCCTTTGCATATTAAAATATCTTATCTTACTTGATATAATACTTGAATAAATCTGTTAGAATGTATTCTGAATATTTTGACACGTTGGTTGTAGTAGGAACTGAAATCGTACTGCTGAGGTGGAATTTTTCTTTTTTGAAGTTTGGACTTATCATAAATTGAGAACTTTCTATGTTAAAATTTACCCACTTCTATTAGATCAACTATTTGTTACTCTATTTCTATGGAATAAATGTTGCATTTTTTGTTTATAAATGTCCACACATTTCTATGTGCGTGTGTATATGTGTGCATTAGTCTTACATACATACATTATATATACATGTATACACCATTATAAACACACACACACAGAGACTAAATTGTAGGATTCTGACGTCTAGTACTACACCCTTTCTGCATATGTTACCACACCAGCTACCAAATTCGAAACTCAATACTCTCAACTAGAGGTGTGCTCAGAAACACCGATGAGTAGCTTATTCTAGATGTTTATGGTATTTAAAGTAACATTACTAGCTTCAGGATTTGAAAATGAACTCACCAAATGCAGATTTGGCAAGTGACTCAGACACTTGACCTGAGCTGGCTGGATTATAATTCCCTTGCTAATGTCCCCAAACTATACACTCCTGCTCATCCAGTTAACAATTAGGTTGAATAATTATACTTGAGTTCAGAAGTATTTGCTTCTATTTAATGTTATGCTTTTTGTGAGTAACTTGATGCTTCATAACTCTAAATTGGAATTTCACTATTTCCTTTTTAAAGGATTAATTTGGTTCTGGTTATGAGTAGATATGTGTACCCCTTAATTTTGTACATTGTGGCTCTAAATCCCCAAGTGTGACTGTATTTGGAAACAAACCCTTTAAAGAGATAATTAATATTAAATGAGGTCGAATTCAAGAGTAGGTGCCATTACTAAAACAAGACCAGATTTCTGAGTGTGCACAGAGAAAGGACATATGATCATACTGAGATCGATTCATTTGTAAGCAAGACAGAAAATAAATCAACCGTAATGTTGGACTTTTAATCCTCAGAACTGAGACAAGTTTTGTTGTTTATGGCATTAGTATAGGCTATTACAGCCCTAGCAGACTAATAAGCTACAAAACATTAGATGCCTGTAAACTTAGAGTTCTTCCTCTTCCTTATAGCTATTTCTACCCCTTCTTCTTTATGGAATGGCCATCAAACTGTGTGTATGTAATTGATCAACTTATATTTCTAATGAATGAATTAGGATAAAAGTTTCCTCACTGCATTACTTAGTTTAATAAGTGAAATGTGACTAAGCGACTTTAAGGCAAACACACAAATATGGTAACTATATATATACACTAACATTGATTTAACATGAATGATAGAATACAGTAAACTAAGTATTAAACTAAGTAAACTAAGAAAAAAATGAAACAACTTTTTCCTTTCCTGATTTTCTCATTGACAATGGACTGTTTCTGTGAGTCTTCTCATACTTAGTTACAGAAATAGTAAAAACTTTATAAAAAAAGATTTCCAGACCCTCCCTGGTGGTGGGAGGGTTACTTAGTTTAATAAGTGAAATGTGACTAAGCTACTTTAAAGCAAACACACAAATATGGTAACTATATATAATAGACTAACATTGATTTAACATGAATGATAGAATACAGTAAAAAATTTCAGTATAATAGACTTTTTTTCTGCTCCTTTCCACGTCTAAGGGTTTCATAGCGTAACTGCAAAATGCAAGAAGTCCATGATTTTTGTAATTATCTCACTTTACTCAATAAGATTTTAATCTGTTCATTTTCCCTAAAATAATATGGTCTATTACCACATTTTGAAATGAAATTGGTATATCAATATACAGTTTCACTAAGAAACTAAAAATTAGTAAGTTACGAAATCAGGGGATATTTTTTTATTTAAGATTTATTTATTTGTGCATAGAGAACTGGTGTACAGGCCAGAGGCTGAGGGGTGTCGAGAGGCTTCACCAGAGACAGAGTGGGGAGCATAACAGGCAGATGGACAAAGGTCAGGAGAGGTCTGCCGCGCCATGTGGTTACCTCCGGGGCAGGCGGGGATCGAACTCATGCCGAAGTGTCTTTTTATTAGTGCTGTGCTTTAACCTGCTGTACCACCAGGGAGGGTCTGGAAATCTTTTTTTTATAAAGTTTTTACTATTTCTGTAACTAAGTATGAGAAGATTCACAGAAACAGTCCATTGTGAATGAGAAAATCAGGAAAGGAAAAAGTTGTTTCATTTTTTTCTGACATTTAAATAAAAACAAGGGAACATCGGCCCTCCCTGGTGGCGCAGCAGGTTAAAGCACTGCACTGAGAAGCCTAAGCCACTTCGGCATGAGTTCGATCCCCGTCTGCCCCAGAGGAGATCCACATGGCGTGAGCAGACCCCTCCTGACCCGCCCGCTGCTCCCCTCAGCAG